TCCTGGGAGGGAGAGGAAGAATCCACTTACCACCTTCCCCAGCATCTCTGTTCTCAGTATGGCTTTGCAGAGTCGGCTGACACTCTGGCCTGGAGCGTCCTCTCCTGCCAAGACACCTCTGTTTCCCTGAACAAGGCTGGACGCGGGTGTCTCTCTCTAGCCGGCCTGTGTCTTTCTTTTCTGTGTGTTCCCAGTGTGTTCTCTGCTGCCTAGTGACTGCTTCCCTCCACTGTCCAGCTCTTCCTTCATCCCTGACCACTGGGGGCCACTTGTCATCCCAGAACAAGGCTGCAGTCCAGACACCTTCTGCCATCTTTCCTAGGAGACGCTGAGCGATAAACACACGCATTCACACAGTCTCGTGCTGTCCAACTAGCACACTGCGATACAGGCAAAAACAAAGGACGAGGAGACAGAGCCAGGTCACGGTGACCTACCAGGAGAGAATTCTCAGAATGCGAAGCGTGGGAGCCCCCAAATACCCAGAGGGACAGGTGACAACTTCTTCCTTTAAGATTCATTTTCTTATGTGCGGCCACTCTTACGTCTGTGTAGTTGTACTGTGTGGGTGTCCACAGAGGCCAGAAATGGGTGCTGGATACCTCAGCTGGGGGTGGGGTGGGGGTTCAGAGGTTTATGAGTTAGCTGCCTTAAGTGGGTGATAGGATCTGAACTTGATCCTCAGGATTAAGTAGCAAGAACCTTCTCTCCTGCCCATCAACCTTGGTTGTTTAAAGGCACCTGCTGTGATTCCTGGAGAGAAATTGGCACTGGGGATCCCTGGATGAGTAAAGCTGCTGCTCCCTTGACACTCTATGGAGCTTATGCTATAGAAACAACTGAGCCAAGTGAAGAATGCTACAAGACACCCGGACAGCACAAGCAGATGCCTGCCTGACTGAAGAAAAGACAGGGAGGCCTGACAGTGTTCTCTGCAGAAGGAAGAGGCCCTGAAAGTTCTGGAAACAGCTTCTGAGACACCAGAGTCCGTTCTTCCACCTGTGGGTCACAGCTCGCTGCTGGGTGGTGAAATCGGTCTCATCTTTTATGACCTGTATCTTCCAGAAAATGAAGCAGGACTGAAGAACCAACGCTCACACTCCAGGCCCTGATTCCTCCTGCATACAGAGAGAGTCTCCACCCACAGGGAGCTCGAGAGAGGAGGCGGGCAGGGTGAATAAGCCCCTAACCCTATGAATTAGAAATTACAACTATTTCACAGAAGGGGTCAAACTATGTGCCTGGGGTCGCAGGGCCCATTCCGGAAGGGAAGGAGAGTGGACGCCAGAGAAAGTCTATAAGTTACTGTGGCTAGAAAGCTGGTATTATAGATTAATGTTAACGAAATCTAATGACTATACCAACCTGTAATCCGCCTTCTCATGTGGGTTTTGACAGGGTAGAGACAGCACACGTAAGAGGACACTCAGATCCCATGAACCACCCCTGGAGTTACACGGGGCCAACTGTGGGAGGGAGGGAAGGAGGAGGGCAGGCAGGCATGCAACTGTGTGTCAGTCAAGTGTGAGCAGAGTCGAATGACTATGAATTTACTCCTCTATTTTCCTGCTTTGTTAAATGTCTACTCTGGGTGCTGAGTAGCCGCTGTGTCTTTCCCTCTCTTTGGCTGGTCTGCTTTGTGTTCCTGTAACAAAATACCCAAAACTACGGAGCAATGAAAGTTTATTCAACATACAGTTTGAGAGGCTAAAACTCCAAGAACGAAGAGGATCGATCCCCTTGCTTGCATCTCAACATGGTGCAGAGCATCATGGTTGAAGGATGCAAGCCAGAGGGAGGAAGCCAGAGATTCAGGATTAGTATTCGTCTTGCTGTCCTTTTAACTTGGTCTCTAACGCAAGAACCACACCACACTGAAGGCAATGCCCCGAGTGACCATCGTACCAGGTCCCACCTCTCAAAGGTTCTATGCAATGTTGCCAAGCTCCTAGGTGACGGACCATATCCCCAGCACCGTATTTCTTATGACACGGTTTCCCAAGTTAAGTGCACAGAAGGTCCCGATAAACTGGGTAGCTGGGCTTCCTCTCAATAGAGTTATGCCTAAATGGGGGGTGGGGACAGCCTGGGATAGTTGTGCTCAGTTAGAACTCAGTAAGCTGACTGCTACAGCATCCCATACAGACACACAGGACCCACCACAGAGCTGCTCAGGTGATGCCACAGAAACTCAGAAGGAACCAGAACATCCCTCCCAAACACTAACAGTGTATGTCCTGAATAAAAGATGCAATATGGTTCCTCACACTTAGCCGCGCAGACCTACCAGGACCAACGGGAGAGAATTCATAAACAATGTTACATTTCTCTACCTTAATTAAAATATAATCCCGACATGTCTCAGCTCAGACTCCCTTCCACCAAGAGGACCTGCAGAAGCACACTCTATTGGAGACTCTTTCCTAGTAAGCTACATGTTCACCTTGGGCTGTTACGTAAGTATACAGCGTCTAGTCTGATAGATGGTGGGCACCCCCATCCCTGCCCATCCCTGCCCATCCCTGCCCATCCCTGCCCATGCCTGCCCATCCCTGCCCATCCCTGCCCACCCCTGTTCCAGTCTTGCCTCCCTCAAACCCATTTTTGTCTAAGTTTCATCAAGGATTGAAACATTCCATCCTCCAGAAAAGCTCTTTAAGCAGGAACTTAAGCAAACAACTCAATAGTTTCAGGAAGTCCCAGAAACTGACCACACTCACTCCCTACCAGAATAAACAATGTAGAGTTCCCCTCAGAGGACTCCCTCTCTAAGAGAACCAGGCTTCAAAGAAGACTTGAGACTAGTTCAGATGTCTGTAAGAAGCAGAAAACAGCTGACCTGCCTGGGAGAGGCAGTTTGGATCAGAGTCGCTTGGAAAAAAAAAACAAGCTGCAACCTGCTGAGCTGCCTGCAGAATGTCAGTGTGCTCCAGGTTCCCAGCTTTTGTGAGCTGTCACCCATGCTGGGGTAAATCTTGGTGATCAAGCTGTCTTTGATTTATTTCTGCTCCTATAAGTAACCCCTCACTCATATTCCTGTAAAACAACTTCTATAAAACTCAATGGGCCACCGAGGTGGATGCTGGTGGTATCAATGTTTTGGTCTGTCCTGAGTTCCCTATCTGGGCTGAGTGGACAAGTGTGTTGTGTCTCCACTGGAAGAGGTCTGTTATACAACACCACTTTGTCCACCTCCCCAGAACCTGTGAGGCCACAGCCCTTTCCTGCTGAAGCCAGCTCTCTGTTTCCACCTTGTGGCCACAACTTGAGAACTGGGTCATAGCCTATAAACACACACAGGACGGATGCAGCTTTAAATGCAGTCAGCCAACATCAAAAAGGCCATGTCTCAGTACAATACAAATCCTGTGATACCCCTACAGTGCTCCCTGGTGTCTCTCAGTTAAATGGCTTAGACATCTAGGACCTGTATCCTGGATTAAAACACAAATCCTCACAGGTCTACCTTGAGGGGTAGCTTGTCTTACCGAGACAATGCTATAAAGGTAAACAGTGGAACATAGTGTTTTCAAATTGGAAAAATGAGTCTTCTAAAAACTTACATATTGCATCTAAGTTTGAAAGATGATCAACAGAAACAGAGTACTCTGGGTGTACTTATGAAATAACTAACCCTTGGCAACCAAAAAGGGACAAGGACATTTTTAAAGAAACCATTCGGTATCACAAAACCCAGTGCACAATCAGTCTCCTTTGGTACCTTTGTGTGTGGATAAGAAGACAATACACCTTGCGTGCCCACCCTGGGTTTGACTCAGGCAAACTGTTCTATCTAGAGCTACAGGGGGCTGGAGAGATGGCTCAGTGGTTAAGAGCACCTGTTGCTCTTCTAGAGGACCTAGGTTCAGTTCCCGGCCCAGCATGATGCTTCACCACCTGTAATTCCTGTTACACGGACACAATGCTCTTTCCTGACCTCTGCAGGTCCCATGCACATGAGCAGCACACGGACACACATGTAAGGAAAACATTCCACGTGAAGTCAGACATGAATAACGAGAGATATGGTGGATGAAGATGGCACAGGGATGGATGAACAGAAAAGACGTAAAGTGAGAGAGACTGAAGCGCTCGCTCAGGGCCTCGCCAGATCATTACATGGTATCATTCAGCATCATGGGCAAGACAGAGTTGGGATGTCTTAACCAACTTGCTCAGCTTTTCGTGGAAGCCGGTAGCCACACACCACGGATGGCCTTTAACAAATCGTCTTAGAGAAATGTCTTTTGAGGATACTGAGGGAGAAAAAGCACCAGAGATAACAATCCCAGGGACACTGCAGCCTCAGCGGAAGGATGATGGCCACCATGGCTGTGTTTGACAAGAGTGGAAGGGCCAGTGTGTACCTCTAAGGTTAGCTCTGGAAGGGACACACACACCAGCCGTGTTGGGCACACAAACGCTGGAGGCTGACTAGTTTTATACCTCCCAGTCTGCAGTCCGCAGTTTCAGTCTTCCCTGCTGTGTTTGCAAAGGGAGACCCATGGCTCAGAAGAATGAGCATAGCCCCATCAGGGTCACACAACACAGTGACTGACCTGGGATGGGTTGAACAAGTCTACCCGCTCCATTACCTGTCTCTACAAGGCTGGCAGAGTGGAGCCTGTTCCCATGACAACGTTGTGGGGCGGCCCTTGAAAAGCAGCTTTTGGTCCCTACAAGCCTGCCTATTAGGTAGGACTGACACTGAAAGCACCCTGGGGTTAAGACATTCCTCAGCTTTCCCCCTCAGTCACTTGGCAGAAAAAGACACACCCCCACCCCTAAATCAGAAGCTCACCCGCGCAGCTCCCGAAACACCAACTGTGGCTAAAGACAGAGAGTGTGAGAATAAACAGGGGGCTCTGTGAACTCACCAATGCTCACTCTGAAAATATAGTCCCCGCTAAGGGCAGTAAGAGCTGGAAAATGTCTCTCCCTCCTACTCCCCAGTACCTACCAAGGAAGTGGTGCTCCCTCCGGTACTCCCTCCGGCTCACCTGCTCTAGGGTGAGTTGCTTGGAGATCGTGTCATTCTCCAGCTTTTTGATCTTCTTCATCAGCTTGTTGACCTGGAACTCCTGCTCCTGCTCCAGGTGCTGCTCCAGCTCGGCTTTCTCATGCTGCAGCTGGAACACAACAACAAGGGAGTGGACAGTGAGCAACTCAGATGCCACCAACACCTCACCGTGCGAATCTGTGCCTCCAGAGGCTGCACCACTAGGAAGCCGCTGATAAGAACGGCAGGGACCGCCTGTGTTCGAACGACTGGTAGATGCTTAAACGCGGGGCGTCAAAGAGCAAATATCAAACCATAATTAAACACTGATATCTAGTCTAGAAGGGGATGTCTCTGCGGAGAGGAACTGGAAATCTGGGGAATAGGCGTGAGGCACACTTTAGAACAGGTACCGTGGTCTCTCTTAAGTTACACACCATGGACAAGAAGACTGAGAAGTTTGGGCACACGCATGCCAACGGCGTGCGGAAGTCAAAGGATAACTTTCAGGAGACGGTAAGTTCTCTTCGTCTACCTTGAGGCTTTGGGATGAAGTGACATGACCCGGCTTTTGTGACAAGGGCCTTCTGCCCATTCAGCCACCTCAGGAATTTTCCAGGTTGAAGCTTCACACCGCCAGTCATTAAATTAACTGTGATCTACTCAGATCTGCATCATGCCTGCAGGACGAAGATGTCACAACCCAAAAATACACTTAGCAAATTATTCGGAATTATGCTATCTCCCAAGGTGCTCGTAAGCCGGTGTTGGTGGGAATCAGCAACACTGGTTATCTTTGCATAATGAAATCATCCATCACGCCGCCTCCTACTGTCTTGCCAAAGAACCCAGGGTGGGGGGGGGGGGGATGGGGCGGAATCTCAAAATATGCAATTAAAAGTTAAAGCTATGATGTTACAAGTAAAAATTTTACATAATTTATATATGAAATGAACTTTCAAAACCAAAAGGAAATTAGAGAAACTGAGGGAGTCACAGGGGAGGCCGAGGTTCTCACTAACTACCAGCCATGATTTCCAACTAATAACCAGCCATGTTTTCCCACAGTCTCGTGGGGGTGAGGGTGATGGGACGCAGACACTAAATCACCTGTGGGAGTTTGCTCACTGCTTCAGAACCCAGGAGAGCAAAGGAGGACGAAGGCAATGAAGTCCACAGGTTTAACTTTTTCTTTCAATGTACAGTACATTTTGCAGGAGCGCCGGGCCTGTCACGCTCACCCTTGTATACAGAACACAACAGCACTGGAAAGCCACGGAGCTTGGGAATCATACTCTACTCGACCCCAGACCCTCCACACACCTGAGACAAACCAGGAAGGCTGTCCCTCGACGCTGGCCCTCAGGGGTGCCTACTCCAGAGTCCAATGATTAACTCCAAGAAACAGCAGGCCAGCCACCTTCCCTCAGGAGGGGGTGGTGGGTGACCCTAGCCAGATCACCCAAAGCGGATAGACGCTCACATCTTAGGCAGGAACTCTGCTACTCAGAGTGTGTGCTCTGTTTAAACGCACTTTTCAACCCGAGGTCATCTACCATGGGACATGTTGACTAGAACAGCTGATGTATGCCCCACCTCCAAAATCAAGCTGGTCATCCTTGCGGGGACCCAGACACACAACAGAAGGAAGACCTGAGGAGGCGTTCACAATGATTGGTCTATTTTTAGCTCGCTCTTGAAAATGAGCTAAAAGATTCTGCAAAGCCATGCAGTAATTAAAACTACACGGGTGGACAGGGATCAGGAAGAGAGCTTCTGAAGTCGGACCCAGAGGAACTCCTGAGCAAAAATAAGCAAGGACCACCTTCACCAAGAACATGCTCTGGGCATGTGTGGTGTGCAGGCGTGCTGCGGTGATAGACAAGCCCGCCGTTAAGATATCCCCACGCCTTGAAACGGACTATCAACATTAGGTCTGTCTATGAGTTAAAGGCAAGAGGCACTTGGAGTTGTAAGAGCTTTAATCTATTTGCATAAAGGTGTTTCTAAATATATCTTCCGACACATTTTCAACTGCCAACATTTTATTAGCTAGAAACGGCTCCTTTAATTTTTCTTTTCCTTTAAAAAAAAAAAAAAAGAGTATTATTGCTTCTGCCCCAGGTAAATTAAAACAATAAAGAATGGAATCTAACCCGGGAAAAGCTTCTGGCCCAACAAGAATCATCTGTCAGAGAATGTTAATCCGAGAACAGAGAGGCTCTGGCTGACGGCAGGAAGTCGTATTTAGACAGATGTTCCACTGCTGCCAATAACCGGGGAGGTGTTTCCACTCACAGTGAACTGGGGACAGAGACTGTGGTGGCTGTGCAGTTAAGAGCTATGCCCTATGGAAAACAGGACAGTAAAGTAATCATTATCAGGACAAGGTCCCCAGGTTGCACTGACCATTCGGAAGCTGTCCAGGTACCTCAAGGCTGAAGTGTCTGAATTGTCACTGTCCCCCAGGGAGAGAGCAGAAATGGTGGCCTGCTGCGGGCTCCCTTCTGTCATTTCTCAGGTGAAGGGCAAGTCAAAGCAGGGCACAGAGTTTCTCAGCAGAGAAAACAGGAGAGAAAATATGGTTCAAAGAGAGAAGCACAGGAATGTCCTACACCCTGGGGAGGAGTGAGCAGGGAGGGGGAGGAGGGAACAGGAATGGGGGAGGAGGGAACAGGGAGGGGGAGGAGGGTACAAAGGGGGAAAAGGGAGCAGGGAAGGGGGAGGAAGGGGCAGGGAAGGGGAGAAGTGGAAGGAGTACAGGCAGTGCTTTTAGAGCACTACCGTCTGCCTCAGATAGTCTGCCTAAGATAAAAGTTATAAATTGTCTGTTTCAGGCTGAGTACTACTAACCTAAAAATCTAAAGTTCTTTGAGCGCTGACAAAACCCTACCTGCAGAAAAGCGTCACATCCGCCTCACGTCAGAGCAAAATCACAGGTGTACTGGAACCGCATGCGGGCTGTGTGTAATGTGTACACCATGTGAGGGTACTCCAAGGAGTCTTGTGTTTTGATGAGTCCCCATGTCCAAGAATGCCTCCGTGGGGTATAATCAGATAATCCAAACTCCTAAATGTCTAAAATGCCCCCACTTCATGTCATAAGTATTCAGGAAAGAGACACCCAACCCACCCTCCTCACGCCAACCTGGGCTTGAGTGGACACCCCAAATCCACTGCTGGTCCAAACCATTGCCCAGGACACTACCACTTCCCCGGATCCTCCCAGAGAACCCTGCTGGAGGCAGACCTGAGGCCAGCCACCAGAAATAAGCTCCAGGGAAATAAGCTCTATGTTCTGTCTCCAATCAGGGTGAAAACTGCAAATCCATCCTTTTCGTTTCTAACCTCATAGGAGCCCTTCACACACTGCTAGTAAGGTGGGCGATTCTACCCAAAGATAAATCAACGTCAAGCAAAGTTAGCAGACGAACTCTCCGGTATGCCTGACACCCGCTTCCTTACTGTATGTCTACTGCTAAGTGGATGAAAAGAGTCGTTAGAAATTAAAGAGTTGAGAGGCTGAGGTGGCGCAGCAGTTAAGACTGCTTACTGTTCTTACAAGGACCTGAACTCTGTCCCCAGCACCCAAACAGTGGCTCAGAACCAAGTCCAATTCCAAGGGATGGGGTGCCCTGTTCTGACTTCCCCAGGTTATGTGTGCATGTAATACGCATGCAAACACTCAGGTGTGTGCACACATCAGCATAAAGCAATTTTTCAGGATCAAGGGTTTAAGTAGACTCTATATAAGTCAACCCTGATGATTATGGAGCAACTCATAACACTTGCTTGTGGTGTACGCTGTTAATATTGACAAGAACAAATCTACAAAACTGAAATCACATAATTACATTAACGGATGTTCACCTCGCAGGTTCCACTTTAAGGTAGGGTCCCAGTTGCTCAGGTGGGCTTTGAACACGTAAGCCTCCTGCCTCAGCCTCTTGAGGAGCTGGGTGACAAGCATGCACAACCTTGTGCTCTCAGAAGGACTTGCTGCAGCAGGATGAAAAGCTGCAACCACTCATCCCGGGAATCGCGTGCCACAGGTGTCCACACAGGCGGCAGCTGGCTGGCCCTCTATTTGACAATGTCCTCAGCCAGGTCGAAGGCTGCACAGCGATGATGTGGGTCTCACCCTGTCTCTCTTCAGCCTACACCAGCATCTGAGTGTTACCCACTTCCTCAAGGAGACCTGAGGTACCATACTCAACGGGAATACCTCCTCTTTGTGTATAACTTCCTGTTCCTCACCGATACAGTGGGCTGGGCAGATGGCTTCGTGGGGATGCAGTTCCGGCCCAAGGGTGGGGATCTGACATCAAGTCCCCAGAACCCATGTAAAGCCATCAAGTGTGAGTCTCCAGCTGCAATCCTAGTGTTCTGGAGAGAGGTGGGGGCAGATGCAGGAAAGCCCTGGAAATTCTGTGTACACAGCAGTAGAAAACAGACCTTGTCTCAATCAAGGTGGAAGGCATGGGGCAGTACTCATACATACACACACACACACATAACACACACTCACACACACACATACACACGCAGAGAATAAAGAAAATGGACAGCTTTTGAGGGAAGTATCAGATACCTAATGGAGACATCTACCCTGCACCCATACACACACACACGCGTACACACACACACACACACACACACACACAGAGGCAAAAGTCCCAGGTCTTTCCCTACAGCCCACATTACTAAACTGGTCTGGTTCAACACTCTTGGAGATCACTCAGGCCTAGAGGGAAAGGTGGTAATGCTGCTGGCCACACAGGCCTGTTCCTACCTGAATGGTTCTACTCTCACCCCAAGTACCTGCCACCTTATGCCTTTCCCGCAGAGCATGACACCCCCATGCCAAATCAGTAATGCCGGGGGATGGTTTGACAGACTTCCATGGTGCCTCCCTCGGCACAACGTGCCCCCTTCCTCGCCCTGCAGCCAGCACACTAGCTGTTCCTGTGTGTCCTGTGATAGCTGGCGGCACGTTTAGCACACATCCTTCTCAAAGTAGGGAATCTGCTCGAGGGCGCCGTCACACCCTGATCTCCTTCAGTAAGCTGTTCTATTTATTGCCCTCGTTTGGTGTAAGAACTGTGACCCTGTACACTGCACAGGACGGAA